CTTAATTCTATCTTGAAAGGGCTTATGATGGGAACAGATACCCACAGCGGCATCTCTCAGAGACCTGTAGGCAGCAAGGCTTGACCGTACCGTATTAGTATAACCTCTGTGCCAGTGTAGCATAGGGCACCATCAGGGGCATGCTGCGGGCAGAGAGACTTAGTGGGTGTCCTCAGTCTCTCTAGCCCCACACAAGTCTCCCAAGCTGGCTCCGTGACAACGGGAAAACTCAAGTGCCCCCCCCAAAACACATCTTCCAACAAGCAGCAGGCAAGCATTAGCTCACTAAACACCCAGCCAGTTTGGAGTAGTGGTTAAGTGCGCAGCACAGACTCTAATCTGGGGGAACCCGGTTTGATTCCCCTCTCCTCCACTTGCACCTGGTGGATGACCTTGGGCAAGACACAGTTCTGTCGGAGCTGTTCTTGAAAAAGAGCAGTTTCTGACAGAGCTCTCTCAGCCCCACCTACCTCACAGGGTGTCTGTTGTGGGGAGGGGAAGGGAAAAGGAGTTTGTAAGCCACTCTGAGACTCCCTTGGGTAGTGAAGGGCAGGGTATAAATCCAATCTCTTCTCCTCTGCTTCTGTCATCAACAGGGGCAGCCCACCAAGTGGGAACCCCCAGTGCGGTAGGGAAATCTGCAGAGCCTGCAAGAATATCACATGTCGACCTTTGGAGCCGGCTTGCTCTGTGCCTGCCACTGTGGCTCACGACTCTCCTTGTCTGTCTCTTTGCAGGCAGCCATCTTAAGGTGAGGGCAGGAAGGACCCCATGACCAAAGAAGTGCCAACCGTCTGCCATGCTCAGGAGTCATTTCTTAGAAAAAGAGGTGCAGGACCTCATTAGCACAACTCATCAGCATAATTTATTTGCATATGCCACACCCCCTGACATCACTGGAAGTGTCAGAAGACACCACTGGACTGTTTTGGATTGCTAGCTATTGGGGGCGGGGGGGCATGCAGATCTGTCCTCGCAGAGGAGGGAGAGCTTGTACCTGAATAAAACTTGGTCTTAAAGGTGCCATTGGACTGTTTTGGATGGGGGGGG